TTCTGGTACTGTGCTCCCGGGCTCAACCCGTCCAGGCGGCCGCCGCTCTCCCTCCAACAGGCAAGATCACCTACAAAAGAGACTCTGTTAATACTAATACTCACCGGAGGAAATCCACGAAGCCCCTGAGCACGGTCGCCAGAAACGTTGCTAAACCAAAACGACCACTTGCCGCCTGCCGCTGTTGTCAATCACAGAGATGGGGAGAGATCCAATCCAAGCTTTATTAACAGAAAAAGTCAGCAGTCTGGAGGATGGGGAGGATGTTCCCTAAAACTGTCCTCCCGACTCACAAAAACAAGCACGTAATATAGAGCAGTGTACACCAGCTAAGCATTTGATCTATTTTTCTTTTAAACAGAGCTTTTTCTCTTTATCTTGAAAAACATTTCATTCCCAAGGTCTTCATGATCCACTGACTCAGACAATTCTCTTCTAGTGGCCTTCAGCTTAATCTAAAGGCTTAGGCACATCTTGTTTTTTTTTTTTTTCCAGAGGCCATAAAACTAAAGCTCAAAGCAGTTTTACATTATTTTCTGCAAGGCAGAAACTAGAGTTCTCAAAGACAAGGATTACATAGTTTCATAATCTCCGTATTTTCCAACAACTGATTCTTCCTCTTTGTTTCTGACCTTCACATTCCAATCACCAGTAATGATCAATACATTTTGTGTGTGTGAGTGTGTGAACTGAGTGATAGTTTGTTTACATGGGAGAGGATCGGCTTTCCACCACCATTTCATTGCAATGATTACAATCCTCTCCATGTGTCATCATTCAACAGTATTTGCTCCCATTCCCTTTGTTTTTCTTTTTTGGGGGGATGAGGGTGGGGAAATGTACACAAAAACACTCAGAAATATATAATAATTTCAACAACCAAATGGCACATTCTGCAAGCCTGTCTCCTGGCCACCAGTACGCAGTCCCTCTCTTTCCATGAGTCTAGAGTCCTCAGCTATTCCCTCTCTCCATGTCCCCATCTCTGCCTCCATCTCTGGTGTTGCTACTTCTCTGGATAAGGTCCGGCATTCCATTTGTGCTCTTCTCCCTTAATAGTCCTAGGGTCCTCTGTTTCTGGACTATAAGATTAATTACGCCCCTGTTTTTGTTACAAAATCTCTACCTTTACCGTTGTGACAGTCGCAATTAGCCATGATTACAATTACTATTGAATTCTAAGACTCTTATCCCCACCTCTTTTCACCAGACCCAAATGATCAATACATCTTGATTGCATGTTTGATCCATTTCAGACTGAAGAAGCTGATGTTGTTAAGTGCCATGGAGTCGATTCTGACCCATAGCGACCCTGTATAGGGTTTCTGAGGAGCAGCTTGTGAACTTGAACCACTGACCTGGCAGTTCAAATGGTTTTGCAGTCTGGCACATTAATCCACAGTACCACACCAGGGCTCCGAAGAAGCTGATCAAATTCTTCAATTTCATCATAACTGGCTTTAGTGGTTGGTATGTAAATTTGAATGATAGTGCTATTAACTGGTTTTTCTTGTAGGTGTATAACTATTAACCTATCACAGACAGCGCTGTACTTCAAGATAGATATTAAAATACCCCTTTTTGACAATGAATGTGATGCCATTCCTCTTGAACATCTTGTTCCCAATATAGTAAACCAAATGATTGTCTGACTCAAAATGGCTAATACCAATCCATTTCAGCTCATTAATGCCTAGGATATTAATGCCAATTTTCTTAGATTGGTACTTTGTACTTCCCATGTTCCAATTATTTATGGATTTTTATAGCTGTTTCTCATCTTGAGTTGTGCCCCAGCAGTAGATGAAGGTTTTGATAATTTAATTCCATTCACATCATCATGGTCAACTCTACTTTGAGGAGGCAGCTCTTCCCCAGTCATATTTTGAGTGAATTCTAACCTGAGGGACTCATATTCTAGCACTATAAATGACAATATTCTCATGCTATTGATAATATTTTCATCTACCGGCACTATATATGGAAATGTCCTGCTGCTAATTCATAAGTTTTTTAGTGGCTGAACATTCAGAAGTAGTCTCCTTTCTAGTGTATTTTAGTGGGGAAGCTCTGCTGAAATCTGTCCACTATGGGTGACCCAGTTGTTATTTAAAATACTGGAGACATAGCTTCCAGAATCACAGCAACATGCAAGCCACCACAGTACACCAACTGACAGAATACTGGTGGCAGAAGGTTACAGTGACTGTCATTTGGAATCTCAAAGGGGCTATCTTAAACAACACAGTACAATCACAGTGGCTTATTATAAGGAAGTTTTAAGAAAACCGAAAATTGCAGTGATGAGAAAAAGGTCAGGAAGTTGCACCAAGTAATTCTTTTTCCATCACAACAATATACCTGCAAGTACAAGTATATTGTACTTGCTACTTCTTTCTGGGTAGCAAGTACTGTACTACGTGAATTTACTTGGGAAGCTTTCTCATCCACCCTACATCGCTGGCCTTGCCCCTTCAGACTTCTTTTTTTTTTTTTTTTTAACAATTAAAGTTTATTCAAATAAATGTCATATTTAAATTACCCTTATTTATTGCTCATTATTTAAATGATATTTGCAACTATTCTTGGATTCTTCAATTTAAAAAATAAAGTAATACATTATTTTACATACCTTTAGCAGTGTATGTTTACATTTTTCCACAATGAAAGGTGAACATACTCATTTGAAAATAGAATTTTTTTTTTCTTAAATGATTTATTGTGAATTATGTGATAGTTTACATGGGAGAACATTAGTTTCATATTCATTCTATCGTATATTGTCTCATTGCCATGGCTACAATCCCCTCCATGCAATCCTTCCCCCGTGCCCCCCAGGTCTTCAGCACACAGTCGCTCTCCCTCTCTGGGTCTAGAGTCTCCAGCTGCTCCATAGCTCCACACAGACTTCTTTTTGTTCCACACAAATGCAAAGAACATTTAGAAGGAACACAATTTGAGTTGCTTGAAGATGCTTAAACTGTCATTTTGATGTGTACATCTAAAAGCGCAGAATTCTTTGCAGAAGGCTTAGAGATGGAAATGCCTTCAGGAGTATATAGGGCTGGATGGAGGATATGTCAGGAAACAATGGTTTCACATTTGATATTGTTTAGTAAAGATTTTTGTAGCAATACTCTTTGACTTATGTTCATACAAGATATGGGCAAAATGCTTCGCATTGCCTACAAACAGAGTTTCTCACTGCTATGGATTGAATCATGTATGGCCAAAATATGCATTGTAAACCCTAAGCCCTATTGGCACTGTGGGACAAGCGGCGGGCTGCCAGCAGCAAGGTCAACAGCTCAAACCCAGCAGCCATCCCTCTGGAAATAGATGAGGTGGTGTGTTCCGGCAAAGACTGAAGACTTCAGTCTCCTAAGGAGCAGTTCTACTCCTAAGGAGCAGTTCTCCTGTGTCCTATAGGGTTGCTATGAGACAGAATTGACGCCCTGGCAGAGACTACACATGTGAGAGGGGAGCCCGTGCATGGGCGGTAGTATTCATGTGAGTATAACCCCATCTGGGAGTAGGGTCTTGTTATGCTGATAAGGCTATGGCCCAATGTCGGATGTATAGCCTTATTACCATATAAAGGGAGCAGTTTATGCAGAGAAGCAAGTAAGGACAAACTGAGGATGACCGATGCCATGTAGAGATCACTAAGGAACCAAGTGACAGAAGCTACAGAGACAAGGGCTTTCCCCCAGCGCTGACAGAAAACCTTCCCATAGAGCCAGTGCTCTGAGTTGGGACTTTTTGTCTCCTAATTGTCCTCCTAAAAGCAAAGAGGACTTAACAATACTTACCGATGAAGATCAGAGACCACAGCCTTTGGTATGGGTTGTATCTCAATGTAAACAAAAATCCTCACCACTGGACCAATAAGCAACAT